GATGTTCCTTCTTTCATAATAAATTTGTCTATTCATCCCTTTTTCTTTTAATCTCTAATTCTCTGATCCTTTACTCCTAACATGAACATCTTAGTTTGCTCACTAAAATGCAACTTTGGGTCGAGTATTATCCGACAAGCACCTCAAGCCTCCATTATTCAGCATACTTTAGTTTTGAGAAACTAATTATTCTCAAATTCTTAGCTAAGAGTAGAGTCAATTATACATACACTTTAGCTTGAGGTTTTATCAAACTCATTGAACCTCTTCAACATACATTTGATGTGATGAGATTGTGTCAAACTATTACTTCCGATCTCTTAGAAACTTAATCTCCAAAATTACATCGGAATTTTACAAACCTTATATGTCAAAGTTTATCTTCTTGGTATTCATGAACATATCATGATTATATTCCAAGATCATCATATTGTCTACATAAGACTTACAATCACAAAGAGTCAGAAGAACCTTCATAGACTCACTTCTTATTCAATGAATTTTAAATCATTCGACAAAATTATTTCAAAAAACTTTTCATATCATTAATTAGGTATTTCAACCTTGGCATAAACACCCCCACATTTCAAGGTATAGGTACGAATGCTTTTGCTCTTTTTACAACTCAAACGGAGTTTCGCATCTACTAGTGCTTTCCATGCCCAAACACCCTCACATTTTAAGATATAGATACGAATGCTTTTACTCTTTTTATAACTCAAACGGAGTTTCGTATCTACCTTCATGTGGTGCTTGCAATTTTGTCGAAATAATTGTTTCTCACATAAACATTTAGATTAATAAGAAATTGTCACCTACTCATGAGTGATTATTTCTTTTAACTATTTCATTGAATATCAACATCATCATTATGAATCAAAGCTACAAAAGCTTTACACCAATACTTTGTGCATTCTTATAATATTTTTCCTACTCGAGTCTACAAAAATTCTTAAATTACATTTACCGATATGACTTATCTCGAGAGGACTAGTGAATTAAGCAATCGTTTATTATGATGCTTTTGCCACTTTTCTTTTAACACAATTTTCATATTTGTTGCATGAATCAATTCTAGATTCACCAACTTTTAGTGTTAAAATTCATAAGTACTAATTTATCATGCCACAAATTAGAACCACATAATAAATAAGACCAACTTATTTATTACTATTTTTTTTCGTCAATCAATAGATTACAATTTTTACAATAATTGTAATATGACCTTTATTAAGATCTCTTTATGCTAAGAATACATCATATTTCGACATAACATATTTGTCGATGATCACAAACTAATCTAAATTCGGCCTTACTCAATTAATGGTCCGAAAACTAGATTCTTATAGATGTCTTGGGCACGAAGAACATCCACGATATCCAATATTAATTCTTAGCACACTACCTTGTCGATTCCTCCAACACTTAAAGTCGAAGAATTTCACAAATATTTTCTTCCTCAGTTAGGGTGTAGGACAACATTTATAAGCGCTAATGGGTCAAGTGGCTCTTGTTTTTATCCTCTATAAACGTAGAATTTTAATCAAGTATGTACTCCAACCACGACGGAAAGATCGAGCTCTGACAAGTATTATCTTGTCCTCGACAATTCGCACTATCCTTTACCCCTCTTCAGAAGTTAGTAAACTTAGGCAAGGTACCTGGGTTTGTCATCATCTTAATGACATCCCTTAGATTTCTTAACTTGGGCTATACACATTATATAGCGTCTTTTCTAGTCCGTTAAGTATTAGATTTCTACACAAGGAATCACTTTGATGCCAAACATCCAAGACCATACGTTTTTGGACGTTAGTCTCACTTTCGGGGACGATCAAAGAGTCCTCCAAAAGTAAACAAGAGAAGGAGAGAATTGTGAGGTAGTAAAACATCTTTTGCTGCCACCTCTTCAAAACAGGGTTATTGAACTTCGATGAATTCTCGCCTTGGACTGGAGCAACTACCCTCAATAGACTAATACTTGGTATAGCGGTCGATTGAGCACTTGAAGAAGACGTTTGGTTTTCTTCGGTTGCCATCTTATGAACTCACAAATAATTTCGTCTTAAGATTGTAGTTTGTGTGGTTTGTGAATATCAAAAAGAAGGCTTAAGGAGAATGAAGAAAACAAACAAAAATCAAAGTCGAGGCACGTAATAGTTACGTTCTCCTTAAGACGAAATTGCCCTGTAAAATACCCACGGTTTAACGGCAAACGCCTCCAAGATACAACGACTTTCGACTTGTATATAGCGGTACTTGAAATATACAAGCCTTCGGCGAACACTACTATTGTTTGGAACTCTCAAGGCTCAATGGAAAAATCATAGACCACAATATGCTATATGATCTTTGAAAATAATGCAAGAGCTCTCTAATTTTGATGTTATGAATGATTTCATGTTAGTGGGCATTTATAGATGTAGAGAAACACCTCCAAGTGGTTTAAGTGTCAAAAGACACCTTTTGGGACATGTCCGAACGAGAACGGATGCATCTAGTGGCCAAAAGATACCTTATGATCACCAAGGGTTGCGACCCTTTGATTTCTGCAGCCAGTTGTGCGCCCGTGCACTGCGGGCTCGTACGAGCTCATACGAACTCCGAATCGAGTTCCATTTTTTTCTACTTGTCCCCAACGAGCCCCTCTACAATTCTAGCATACAAAATGCATATTTATGGCTCGTTTAGTTTGTTCAAACATTTATTAAAATTACTGTTTGTGAACCCTACAACCTTTTGAGTTATTTAAACTCAATTAACTAAAATATAACACATTGAATTAATTTTTCCTTCACCTTAAAAAGGTTTTGAGAATTTTCTAAGTCTTCTACTTACGAAAAATAGAATCGTTAAATCGATACAAAACCAATTTTTTCTTACAGAATAGACGGAGACACAAAGTTTAGGAAACATTCTGCAGTGGCTATATGAGAATCATTGAAGAAAGATAACGAAATTGAGCGTAATTTTTGGACTAAAAAGGTGACGGAATCATTATTGCAAGATTTGTTTAAATCTATCGTTAATGTGGAATCTATAATTATATTAAAAGAATAACCTTTTAGGCATTGCCGCCAAAAATTCCCGCCAATTATGCATAGATATTTACCCGCCAATCTGTACATCCTAAAACATAGTAAATATCGTTCCTGATTTTTTGGACAGATAGGGTAACAAATCACCTGATTTTTTGGTACTAAATACGCTAGTGATAATTTTAATGAATAAATGCGGCGTTGGTTTTTCCTTTTTTTCCTATTTTATAGGTTAACAAAATAATAGATTTTGTTGATTTGTTTCCCTTTAAAAACCGGTGATAGTTTTTGTGATGTTTCCCTTTATCCTATTTTTTAGGTTAACAAAATAAAGACTGTGTTGAAATTGTATGTAATCAAATTTTGTTAAATAGAAGTAACGCCATAATAATAATTTTGAAATTATATGTAATTAAATTAGACTTATAATATTTTAGATACTTTGAACAAATTGTTTAGATATTTTATTTACATATTCTTATATATATATATATACACAACTATATATATACACACATATATACATAATTGATGTTAAATTTAAATATCCGTAAACATATCTTCTTTACAAAATAGTCTAGAAAAATCTTTTTCACACAATGTTAAATTCAAATGTGTTTAGATATGTTTTCCTTCTAAAATTGTTTAGAAAAGTTGTAGGTTCTTTCAAAAATAATATAGAAATTTTGAATACTTTCACATATACTAATATGATATTTTAGGTGTTTTAATATTAAACATCCAAATTTTATATTCTCTTATACAAAATAATACAAATTTTATATTCTCTTATACAAAATAATTTTATATTGTTTGACCCCGAATCTTTAATTTATAATTATTAAGTATCGTTTATCCTCCTTTTTAATTTATAATTATTTTTTTCTTCCTCTTTTTAAATAGGATCAATAGTAGTTTCCACTTTCGCCATTGAGTGACTAAAACTCAATATCTATTTATAATATTGTTGATTTAATATTGTTTCCGTGCATCGCACAGTGTACACACTAGTTAGTTTAAGAAGAAGAGATATATGTGTACATGCCCCTATAAACTTTGATCATTTTGAGATTTAGTGGACATTTCTTTTTTCTTTTC